TAACCTCCTTACATTTCGATGAAAGACTGCATCCTTACTGCTACATTGTCTATCGTATATGATAATGTTTCTGGTGGAATGTTTTGAATTTCCTTTTACATGTTGATCTCAAGTTGTTCTATGTCTCTTAGCTTGGGATAAGCATAAACATGGTTCTTGAAGTCACCCCAGAGAAAATGTTTGGGGTGTCAAATCTGTTGAATAGGGAGGCCCTCACAATGTCTTTACACAGAGAGAAGAAACTGCTTTCATGGGAATTTTTGTGTGGTCCTTGCTGTACATGGAGGTACTCAAACTGTCTGGAACCACAGTGTTCTCATTTGTATATCATTCAGTCTCCGTAACTCTGGCAGATGGAACTCCATTATCAATTAACCGCTAAATCATTTGACGATAATTGACCTGGTTCTCTGTGATTGTTCTGCCACCTTCAACCTTGGAACTTCTTTCTCTGGGGTTATTTGAAGGAGCATGTTAAGCTAACCCCAAGCCAAAAGACCTGGAACAACATAAGGCCAACACCCAAAGAGAAAATCAAAACGTTCCACTTGAAACATTATCAAATGTAATGAACAATCTAGCAAAAGGATACAGGCTGTCATCGAAATATGAAATAAAAAGTAAAGGGTTAAATCAAGAGGCAAGACTGAACTAAAAACTTTGTATTGGGGAGGAAACTTACATGCTTCAGCAACATGACCATGCAAAAATATCTGAAAATATTGATTGGTTTATCTGTGACATTAATATTCTTTTGGGTACATTTTTGAGACACCTAGTATTATTTATCATACCAAGCTATTATAGTTCATAGATAGTATTGCATTTTTATATTAAGTGTTAATGAAGCGTAGAAATTAATAGTGAGGACTTGTGTGAACCCTAGTGAACCGAAGAGTTCCTACATCCAAGTGTTACTGATTTCCATGTGACTAACATCACCTAAATAGTGTAACTTTGAACAAATTAACGATTTATCACCATGTCATCCATGTGACATTGATATCCGCATTAACATCATCTATATGGCATTCATTCATGTTATAATCTTCATGTACCATTATCCATGTCCGGAACCTATATGGCAGTGGTTGAGTTTTTCTTTTGTATCTATTTCAGTGGTGACTTTCATGACAGGGATGCTTTTTATTCTTAATGTATCCATCATTTTTGTCACATTGATCTCCATGTTCACCTCACCAGTGTGATTCGACTCTCGAATATCATCTGTGTGACATTAATCTCCTTGTTTTTGATATAATCTGTTATATTGATTAGATCTTCAGAAACCCTTGTCTGAAATAATTTAAATCCATGCAATGAAATAATATCTCTGCTCCCTAAACTACATACTGTATGCTATTTTCATGCCATATTAAAGCTTCTAAACTATAAAAAGTATATTAAAATAGTTTAGATTCAACCTCTGTCAATCATGCTACCTGATTAACTCCTTTATTTTGCACCAAAATCTCCTGTTGTTACTGTTCTCAGTTTTGAGTGGTATCCATACTCTATGGGGGTATACCTGAAATTCATCCATTTGAGACTCATATTTTTTCATATATTTTTACATATTTCATATTTTGGAAACCTTTTAAAACAAGTTTAGATAATAAGTTCTATACCACACATACTTCTATTGGAGATGTAGGAAACCTATATAGATATAGGAAGGGTTAGTTAAAGAGGCTCTAAGCCATAGGATAACACAATCAAGACCCCTCTGGACTTTTTTGCATATTGAGTTTCACCACATATATACCCATCTACTTACCAAAGAAGAAGTCCCAAATCCCCCTCTTTCAGTGTTAATTTTGCGATTGTGCTGGCTGATCTAATTATTTTCGAAGAAATTAATTCAATCTGAAGTTTGAATATACCAAGAAAGTCATCCTGTTATCTGATTGGTCGTTGAATCTATTTATCATAAACCTGATTGCCTGTCTGGTTCAAGACACTTATGTGACTCAATGGGGATTCCCCTCGCTAGCCGAGGAATCGATTGTGTTTAATTCTGGAGTTTGGTTGTTCTGTTGATTATTTCCGATATTTCGGCAATAATATACCCAAAAGCTATTCTCAAGATATATCCATGGTATGTGAGACATTATATGAGCAATAACAATAGGACATCATTGATTGTCTGGGGGAGAAACCTATGGCATAATGCATCTTTAAAGTCCTACGAATATCACTTCTTTTAAGGGGCATTTTTTCTTCGTGGCTATTTCAGCAGACTTTAATTTCAGGATTACAAGTACTACTACTGAGCTCTTTGTATGGATTTGGTTATCATTTTTCATTGCATATAAAAGAGGTTATACTATGTAAAATTATATAAAAACTACTTTTCAATTTGCTTCCTGAAGTACCTGCTGCTTATAGTCCATTTTCAGAAAAGCTATAACAAAAATCATTCAAAGGTTGAATCACCAAGGATTTTGAAGGTTACAAAATTCCCCTAAAGTAGTTGTCATATTAGTAACCTGTACCCTACCATCTGCCGGAAAGTATTCACACAGTGGCGTACACTGAGCTACAAGGCCTAAGTGTGAAAGCTCCATCAAAGGAATGCATCCTGGGGGATGTGATGTGACTCCCTCAATACTTGACACAAGTTCTAAAATTGACACTTTATCTGTATTTTGAATATAAAATGGTAATTAAGATGTATTAAGCAAATATCAACAAAATTTTGTTTTCAGCTTTTTCACATGTTAGAAATCAAATGAATCCAAGAACACTCCTCCATATAAATTTTGTAAAAATTAATATGTATACTAGTCAACATATGTCAAAATAGCATAATTAAAGCATTACTATGTATTTATATGAATCATTTACAGTGTATGGTAAATTATAAAATTGGATTTTGAAATACAGGATCAAGATAACACGATTTTGACCCCTGTGAATGATAGTCAAAATACATGTAACATCTCCACATACTTACATGTTCAGTTCAATGGAATAATATGAACAAGTCATGTACATTTTTACTTAATAAGATTGAAACAACGATGTTTGTTTCTTTTTTCGTTATTGTAAAACATTTTATAATTGTCGTTCCCAGTAGCTGCCCCAAAAGCTGAATAACTGCTAATTCTGATCCAATTCTGAATCTGTTGTCTCTTGATTGTTGCCTATATATCTTCCACTCATCAAATAAAGGTCAAAACTATGCACACATTCTGTCATACAGCCTCAGTTCTAATAGGTATGTTGCTAAACTGGGATATTCTGAACAAAATAGATTGATGACGTCACAATTTATGCAAATTAGCTAATTTGCATAATTGAACATTGTAATTGTACAGGAAATTTAATAAGGTCTAATTCGATACCAATATCATTTCTATAGACCAAATAATGACAAAGCTACAAACATTTTAAACTTCCATAGTAAGATGTCTGAATATAATTGTCGAATAATGACATTCACAGTAGCTTCCTCGAAAGTTTAATAACTTTGGTAATACTGATCCAATTTTGAATTTGTTTTCACTTTTATGTTGCTTATACCTTCTTCTTATAGTCTAAAGGACCAAACTTTGCAGAAATTCTGACATACAGCCTCAATTCTAATAGATATGTTGCTATACTTGAAAATTCTGAATCAAAAATTGATTGATGACGTCACAATTTATGCAAATGAGCTAATTTGCATAATTGAATATCATTAGTTTATGGGAAATTTAATTAGGTTTAATTTGATACCAATATCATCTTTATAGACCAAATAATGACAAAGTTACAAATGATCTAAGATTCCAAGGTAAGATGTTTATAGATGCGTAACCATGGTAACGGAATGCTACAATACTGAGCAACCAATGAGAGTTTGCAAGGGCATCCGGCAGAAAATTGAACCTCAAAGTGTTACCTTTCAAAAAAGTATGGATGCCATAAATTAACAGAGACGAACACGTTGGGTAAATTTTTTGAAACGATAGAGAGGCATGGGTTTCTGACTATATTTTGCCTGTAGAAATGACGTTATTACTATTATTACCACCATTAATGACCAGGGCTGAAATAGCAAATTTGAAATAGAAAATCTTACGCACTGAATGATATCACTTTTCTCGGGAAACATAGCTGGGCGGATAATGTCATTATTGCCCGACTAAGTCATTAACGCCCGACACAATATTGCTCACGTCAATAGCAATTTAATTGCCTTCTCAACTAGTACTAAAACCCCTAGAACAGGCCCTGCAAGGTGGTAATAATAGTACAATAACATCATTTCTGCAGGCAATATATACCAAATATTCCATTCTATTGAGGTGAATACATGTTCATCTTTCCCTCAGTATATTTCCCGCAGCCCGAAAATAGAATGGAATATTTGATTTATTATACCATTTGAAAGTTCTACAAATTAAGCGTATTTCTTTTAACCCTTTAATGCATAGATACAATACATGAGCTCATCAGAATAACCACTCTAACTACAGCCACTCTTAGATGCAAGATATTGCCATCTTTCATCCTCAAAAGTCACACGTGCAAGATGATTTGTGACATCACTGGTTTATAAACATCAAGAACATGGCAACGGATGCACAATTGCTATTAGTACCCATGCTCATACTACAAATATAAGCTGTGACGTCATAAAAATGAAGTTTTGTTGCCGTGCGTATCCAAGTATTTTCTACAATATTGTTGTGACGTCATAACAAAAACATAACATCCGGGACTTTCTACCGTGGTATATACTCCGTGGTATACACCCTAATATTTTTAATCATGTGATCGGTTCTTATCCAATGAGAAAACGAGAAACATTTCAATGATATAATAAAGTGAAATATTGGACCAAGGGCAGAATGCATTATTGACTGGCAATATGCCCCGCCAATATGATGTCACATACATGTACTGCTCAGGTAGATATAATAAATTTAATGCCTTCTAAACTAGCACTAATACCCCTAGACCAGGCCCGGTAAGATGGTAATAATATAAATTAATTCCCTTTTTTGTTTCAGCAATATTCATTGCTCTTGGCATCCTCACTGGAATGGCCCTGATCTGGATTCTACTCAAGTATATATACAATCACCAACAAATCAGGAAATACTTAGTGTGCTTTGAGACGGAGCACCTAATAAACTCAGTAAGTAAACAACTCTTTCAGACGAGTGTAAAATAATATTATTTTGAAATAAAGTATAATGTTCTTCCAAGAATATCCCTCTCATTCATTTCAAGTGAGTGCAATGGTTTTTTGAATAGGCACAAGTCATTTTTAAAATCTCTCAAGTTGGTGCATGCCTAATTTCAAACTCCCAAGTGGCTGATAGCCTATTCGCAAAATCTTTAAGTTTATGAAAGCCTATTTTCAAAATCACAAGTAGCCTTCATTTGCATCAATTAATTACTTAAGATACTTTTCCATGTAAATGTTTAACATTTGCAAAAGTATAAACAAAGCAAAAAACTAAGCAATAGGTTCATTCTTAATTAGATGAATGGTGGCCTGTGTGTTAATTCGAAATATTTTTCATGAAAAATTGGTACATGTAGCTTGCATAGAAAATTTCATTATTTCCCTTAGGTTTTTCCATAGAGTATATGTTTTAGGACTTGGGGGAACCCAATAATGGTACTGTGAATACAGATGAAAATTCCAATAGTCAAATCGCATCACCACCAGTCAGCGAGTTCCCGATGGTTTCTTTCCATAGAGTACCGGTAATCAATATATCAAAAACCACAGAGACCTTGGGCGCCTTAATAATATATGGGTACTAACTAGACTTCATGATCTCATTTTGCTCAGGAGCATCAAATCTAAAGCAGGGGGAAGATATCCCAAAGTTCAGATTGGGTATTGGGTCATGTGGTATCCATGTGATAGATCCATATAAGGCTTATATGACCATGATATTGGATTCAAACATGACCGTGCTCTAATTGAATTTCTCAACCAATCAGAATGCAGCATAGCCAATATAGAACGTTCTCTAATTCTCCATAGATGCACGACCGTGCTCTATCCAATCATCCGGGAATCTACGTATTGTATTTGCATTGTGACGTCACACCTGGGAATGGCGAAAATAACAGCGAGCTCGAGTTTGGTGTATCTCATGTAGCTCCAATCCCCAATTCTCTGAACAATGTTTTCATTTTTATATGTTTGAATCGGAATAAATAATGATAGGCCATTCAATATGGTGAAATTCAGCACTCGTTGGACAGAATGTCAGTACAAATGCACTCACCTTCGGTTCGTGCTTTGTACGACATTCTGTCCAACTCGTGCTGAATTTCACCATATTGAATGGCCTATCATTATTTATTCCTTAAATCAAATTTACTGTTGTTTGCCATTTTTAATGTCATTTGATAGATCCATATAAGGCTTATTGGACCATCCAAAATTCAACTTACTGTTTTCCGCCATTTTATATGTCATGTGATAGATCCATATAAGGTTTGTTGGGCCATGTAGGGAAAGCTTAAGGGGAAGCTACTGATATGAAGTCATACCAAAGAATTATGGGAGCTACTCGCATCTTCTGATCTAAAGCAAGGAGCTCTGTGAATTAAGTGGTATGACAGAGAACATAACACAAAGCTGAAATGCTCATGGTTTAATGATATCTGGTTAGTGCCTGTAGAATACATTCCCTTTGGCTTTTTAGAAAAGAAGATTCTAATGCACCATTTAAAGATTTGAGTGAGAGCCTCCCCACAAGTAGGCAGGGGTTGAGAATTTGAAACAGAAAACTTTAGGGTGTCCTAACCTTGGGGGCAAATTAATGAGCCAGTTTTCCCACCCTTAATCCCAATCCCCAGAGTCTATCCCCAATTCTGCTTTCTCAGTACCTTTCAGTGTAAAAATTAATAGGCCATTTATATGTCAACAATGGCCTGTAATAGGCATATGCATGGTATAGCTAGAAGTGAGGTATTACCTTCTTCTAAGGCTATCACTGTATTCTGGTCTTCAACAGGTTTGCAGTTGCTTATGTATTTGCTAATTCTCACTTGTGCTTTTACTAATTATGAACAGAATGAAGTTAAACATACCCACTTTGTAGAATGTAAGTACGTCTATCGGCTGTTATTCATTGTTATTTGAGAGAATGTTCTCAAATTAACTGGTGCCGAACAAATGAGGTGCCACCTCAATCAGATCTTAGTACTTGTCTGCTCTTAGGCAAAATTTGAAGCTGTATAGGTTTACCTGCCACCTCAATCAGATCTTAGTACTTGTCTGCTCTAAGGCAGATCTAAGTACTTGTCTGCTCTTAGGCAAAATTTGAGGCTGTATAGGTTTACCTGCCACCTCAATCAGATCTTAGTACTTGTCTGCTCTTAGGCAAAATTTGAAGTTGTATAGGTTTACCTGCCACCTCAATCAGATCTTAGTACTTGTCTGCTCTTAGGCAAAATTTGAAGTTGTATAGGTTTACCTGCCACCTCAATCAGATCTTAGTACTTGTCTGCTCTTAGGCAGATCTTAGTACTTGTCTGCTCTTAGGCAAAATTTGAAGCTGTATAGGTTTACCTGCCACCTCAATCAGATCTTAGTACTTGTCTGCTCTTAAGCAAAATTTGAAGCTGTATAGGTTTACCTGCCACCTCAATCAGATCTTAGTACTTGTCTGCTCTTAGGCAAAATTTGAAGTTGTATAGGTTTACCTGCCACCTCGATCAGATCTTAGTACTTGTCTGCTCTTAGGCAAAATTTCAAGTTGAATAGGTTTACCTGGAATTTTAATGAAAAGTGTTTTGTCCTGCCTACCCGCCAACACACACGCACGCATGTAGATGCATTCACGTCCATCAGCACAAAATGAGGATAATCTGGCACTTTGAAAAAAATGCAAGAAAAGTTACCATTGTTGGAGAACCCTTGCTCTGAAAGATTCATCCAAGAGTAGTAATAAGCATGTATGAATAGATGCAAGGAGCTCGCACGTCCCCAACTCACGACATCATGGTTACAGCGACAGCACAGCTTGGCATATTCAGTGCTCTAAATCACTCAACAAGCCCAAAAATTGGAATAGGTGTTAACGCTCAAACACACCTGAGATAACACATTCACACACCCCAAATTAGATTGACTGTCCTTAATGAAGTAATTAAAATTTAAATACATTGACAAGAAATATAATGCATAAAATACAGCTTAGTTCCAACAATTTTTCAATGTTCTTAAATCTTTTTAACATTTTATGCAGTTTTCAGATTAATTTTGTTTATTTGAGCTGAAGTTTGGGGAATGATTAATAGTATAAATGACAAAAGCATGAAAACAGATTCCCGGGCTTATGCATAGGCAACTCAGAATCGCCATTCATGGGGTGAAGTTTTCTGTCAAAATCCTCCCCCTCTTTCTGGGACAATTAATGAGTGTCACAGTTTCCTGACCCTCCCTCCGTGTGGAGTCTCTCAATCTTTGAATGGTGCATAATATATTGTTTCTGTTAAATGTGTTTTGATGCAATGGTCTCATGTGTTGACTGTTTTAGGATTTAGGGGAGCCCACCAGTGGTACAGTGAATACAGATGGAAATTCCAATAAGCAAATCGCATCACCACCTGCCAGACAGAGGCTACGATCTTTAGATGCTTTCAGGGGGTAGGATAATATTTGTACATATTTATCAAATTTGATCCTTCTCATGACTACATGGAATGAAAAGTCAAGAAGATGTTAATACCCTTAAAGGGATATTCCTTCCCAGACCATCTCTCTCATAATATGGTAGCTTTTCATGTACTTGTACTTTCATGTACATGTACTTTCATGTGCACGCATAACCAATTCTAAGCTTAGTTGCTGTATAAGGTGAACCGTTGTTTCTGTTACTATAGTAACTGTATTAAGTGTATAGGCTTAAGATTTAAGTATTATTAAATTTCACTACTCCCCCTCTTCATAAAGTTTTTCTGATTACCAGGTGTGATAACTTTCATATCAGGAGAGAAATGGTCTGGCATAGAATAAAAACCTAGCAGATAATTACTTTTTTTACCATTTTGTATAATAGATTAAAGTACATTTATACATGTAAAGTACATGAAGAGGTGTATTCTCTTTTCCAATTGATTCACACAACTTAATTGTTTTGCAATGGTTCACATATTTTAATACATTACTATTACTGCCTCCAATGTTACACTGGACCTGTTGCCATGATAACCTGTTGCCATAATTACCTGTTGCCATAATGACCTGTTGCTATAGTTACCTATTTTCATAACTACCTGTTGCCATGATTACAGCTTAAGTTTAGTCCTCATGATATTCGTCAACTATAGAGGAGGCTATTACTGGTATTTCCGCCATTCTCGTTGGAATGGTCTCACCTTAGCTGACCTTGTGTTTCCATGGTGAGTAATATATCGATGTTTATGTGATGCAATAGTCCATATTCATCTTATTAAATGCACATTTTGGTAGACTTGACTTGGTTCATCTTATGTGTGACAAGCATCTTGATTTTTAAACAAGGGCTATTCCGATTTAAGACACTTGCCTTTGATGGAATACGATATTGTCAGTTTAAACTCAGACTTGCTTGCATATAACCAAGTCGAAATAAATTTGGGCTAAGAATATGTGTGTTTAATAAACTGAATATGGCAGCTTAAAGATTTCTGTAAAATATGAGAGCTTAGAACATGTGTGTTGTTGTAGACTGTGTCTGGTGATTATGATGTTCGTCAACTATGGAGGGGGTGGGTATTGGTACTTTAACCACTCCTATTGGAACGGGGTGACAGTCGCGGATCTGGTAATGCCATGGTATGTCGAGTCACAAACTGGAGGGGGCTAAGGGGGTGGGGGTTTGCATCTCCTGAGGGGGACTATCGAGATGAAGGGCCTTGTTATTATAAAGTATGAGAGGGTCTAAAAATGTGGTATAAGAAAACCCTTGATAGACTCCCCACCCCCATAAGTGGGCATCCACCCACCCCTCTCTGTATGGAATGGAGGTATATTGGTATAATTGTCCCGCTTTCCCATCCATGGACTTTATAATAAATGAAAAATATTCCTTAATTCATTTGAAAATAGGGCTAAGATTTAGGGACAGTTATATCTTGGTACTTTTGTTTCCGCCCCTGGCCATATAGGCCCGGTGACATGTATAAAAATCGAGTCTGTGTCTCGAGACTATATACTCAATTTTTATCCATGTTCCGAGGCCTATGCCCCTGACTATGTTTTTGAAGAACTTCACGGTGGTTATGAATTTTTAAAGAAAATAGGCTCAAAAAGAGACATATACATTTTAATTGTTGAGGGTCCTGGGACACAAAACAGACAGAATATCCATGGTAACCAGTGTAACCACCATGAAAGTATATGTTTGAATATACTTGAGTAACAAACGTTTCAAAGACATTTCAATATTTCCTCAAAGGTACAGTGCATTTTCACGGAAGATACAATTTTGATATACTATATTCTCTAAAGTAAACAGAAACATTCCATCGCAATAGCCACGCCCCCTTTGTCTTTATCCTTCGCAAATGGCAGATAAGAGGCACTCTGGCATATCAGAATGGAAACATTCCAATAAATACACACCTTGAATCTCAGTGACTTGAGTGCAGAAATATCAAGAAAGAAATACAATGTTTATTATACCATCCACTTATTTGAAAAGGCACTGTTAATGAAGAGAATATGGTTTAAATGAATGAAAATGTTGCTGATGATATCCTGGCCTTTGAAAGATTGGGTATCGATATGGCGAACTTTTTGAACACACGTTTCTCTTAAACCAGTCATCAAAAATTTTTGAAAATCTTACAAATTGTCAATTGAATGGCCATCTTTTGAATAGTAACAATATAATTATCCCATCGAACGAAGTTCGGAGGGATAAAGGGAACGCCTCCGTCTGTCCATCCGTCCGTCTGTGAACTAGCAGACACTAAAGGACCATAATGCTATGGAAGAACTCAATCAACTCAAGGAAAAATATGCCATTGTACCTATTGATAAGGCAGCAAATAATATTGGGTTTATGTGCAAACAATACTACATAAAGAAGATTAAAGAGGAAATTGGAAGTGACACCTATCAAAGGATAGAAGATAAAGGAGAAGAAGATATAGTGGAGGAAATCAAAGAGACAATGAAAACAAAATTCAAGATTGAACCGGGAGAAGAACAAAATATTATACCAAGGATTCATCTTACAATTAAAATGCATAAACAGCCAATTAAATTTAGATATATCATTGGCTCAAAGAAAAGTTCTGTTAAACCAGCTGCCAAAAAACTGACCAAAATTCTTAAACTAGTGCAATATACTAACAAAAGATACTGTGAGAAGATTAAGGATTATACAGGTGCCAATAGGATGTGGATCAGTGACAATAACCAAAATATGTTAGATAACATTAAAAGTGTAAATTTAAGGAACGGGGCAAGAAACATAGCCTCGTATGATTTCTCTACACTATACACAAAGATTAATCTAACTGACATAAAGGAAAAACTGAAATGGGTGATAGATAAAGCCTTCAGAGGAGGAACTAACCAAAAGATAACAGTAGGTGGAGATGAAGCCAAATGGGGTGGAAAGGCAGATAATAAAAAGGCATATACCAAAGGAGAGTGCAATGATCTAGTGGATTTCATCGTGGATACAGCCTACTTTAAAGCAGGGAAATCAATTCTAAGACAGAAAATTGGAATACCGATGGGAATCGATCCGGCGCCATATATGGCAAACCTATACTTATACAGTTATGAATTTCAAGCCATTGAGAAAATGTATAGGGAAGACTACTCCAAAGTACTAAAATATGCTAAAACTACAAGATTCATCGATGATTTATGTACTATAAACAACAACGGAGAAATGGAGACTGATATGAAGAACATCTATCCTGAAGAACTAGTGTTAAACAAGGAAAATGAGAAGGATACAGAAACAACTTTTCTGGACATACAAATGAAAATAGTAAATAAACAAATCACTACAAAACTATACGACAAAAGGGAAAACTTCAATTTCCAAATAGTCTCATATCCTGATTTATCTGGAAATATTCCTAGAAACCAGTCTTATGGAATATTTATATCACAAATAATAAGGATTTCAAGAATCTGCAGTCAACTGGAAGATGCAACAAACAGAGTTACCAGCCTGGGAAATAAACTACAATGTCAAGGCTACAGGAGCAACATACTAAATTCATATACTAAAAAAGCTATAACAAGAAATAAATGGATATGTACTAAATACAATATGCAGGAGAATATCATCACGAAGCACTGGAAAATTAACGAGAGAAGAGAACATTAACAAATGAATATGAAACAGTATATTCTCCGCAAAGAGGGTAAACTAAGAGGACAAATCAACATAAGACCAACAGTAAGGGGAAGGGGAGAGTTTTCCGGCCGGATCAAAACGTTTAACCCACCTATGCGCAGTCTCAAGTCTGTGGACCCTGAAGAAAGATAACTAACATCGCAATCAAATCAAGACAAAGAAAGAAGAAAATAAATGAAGAAACCAATGCAGCAAAAACAAATGATGTCCGTACGTCCGTCCGTCCGGGCAATAACTCAAATACCGTAAGCCCGATTTTGTTCATATTTTGTACACATATACCCTATGGGGGAAGAAGTTCTGCTTGAAAGCCGATTTTCAAAATGGCCCCTCATTTCAAAATGGCGGCCATTTTAGTGCCGAATTTACAGTAATTTAGGTGCAATATGTAAAACTGTAATAGCAATATGTTTTAGATGTAAAAAAATTAGAAAGGACATTAATAAAGCTAGAAATGTAAATATTAAAGAAGCACATGGCAACCATCTTGAAAAATGGCTGCCTTTACTCGTTATTTTACAATTTTTGCTGTAACTCGAAAAGTAGTGGAGCGATTTTGTTCATATTTGGTATGTGAATACTATAAACATTGCACACTGTCTAAAGACACTTTTGGTAGAAGGCGGCCATTTTGAAAAATGGCCGCCATTTTGAAAAATGGCCACCATTTTGAAAAATGGCCACCATTTTAACGTATTTTACTATAACTCGAAAAGTAGTGGAGCAATTTTGTTCATAGTTGGTATGTGAATACTATAAGCATGACACACTGTCGTATGACACTTTTGGTAGAAGGCGGCCATTTTGAAAAAAAATTTGAAAAATGGCCGCCATTTTAACGTATTTTACTATAACTTGAAAAGTAGTGAAGCGATTTTGTTCATATTTGGTATGTGAATACTATAAGCATGGCACACTGTCTAAGTGGAGCGATTTTGTTCATATCTGGTATGTGAATACTATAAGCATGACACACTGTCGTATGACACTTTTGAAAGAAGGCAGCCATTTTGAAAAATGTTTTGAAAAATGGCCGCTATTTTAACGTATTTTACTATAACTCGAAAAGTAGAGAAGCAATTTTGTTCATATTGGGTATGTGAATACTGTAAGCATGGCACACTGTCTAATGACACTTTTGGTAGAAGGCGGTCATTTTTAAAAATGGCCGCCATTTTAACGTATTGTACTATAACTCGAAAAGTAGTGGAGCGATTTTGTTTATATTTGGTATGTAAATACTATAAGCATGGCACACTGTCTTATGGCATTTTTGGTAGAAGGTGACCATTTTGAAAAATGGCCGCCATTTTAACTTTTTTACTATAACTTGAAAAGTAGTAGAGCGATTTTGTTCATATTTGGTATATATGAATACTATAAGCATGGCACATGGTCTAATGACACTTTTGGTAGAAGGCGGCCATTTTGAAAAATGGCTGCCATTTTTTCGAGGTCTCCTCTGCTGAAGGCAGCGCGAAGTAGGAGCGTAGCGACTACTTTGCGGGAGACCTCGAACCATTGATCACGTTTACTCCTGTAATTATTCACTTCCTCACCTCTTTAAAATGTGATTTCAATCAGTTGATCAAATGTTCGGACTTTGACCTCAAATTCAAATATTAATATTTATAAGAAAAAATACTGACTCATTATTATATTTTTAAAAGTCTTTCAAATAAAGTGAAATGGAGCAAAAATCAGCTAAAATTATGCAATGTCATAAAACATCCTCCTAAGCAGGTGTCCAGAATCCGTACCTCCTTCTTCCCCCTGCTATAACCAATTTGGACGCGCCCGATTTAACTGAATCACGTGATCTAATTATGCGCAATGACTTATACATGATTTCTGTCGCAGTGTTGCGACAGCCAATCAGATTGCGAGTTCTTAATCGGGGTATTGCTAACTGCTTATAGCAGGGTGTAAAAAGAAAGAAGAAATTCTGGATTTTGAAGCCCTGTGATCGGAGGATGGTCGTAAAATGGCGTTTCTAGAATATGATGCAATCACCCGTGACGTCACAGACACGTATCGCAACATCAACAACTAAAACAATTAATATAGACTTCACTGATTGGTTTAAAGATTCTTCGCATCATTTGTGACGTCATAAACATGTTACCCAACCAACAACTAAACAAATAATAACTAATAGGCATATAGGTTCGTTCAGTGCCACGCTCGGATAATCAACAGATATATGATAGGGTCAGGAATTTTTTGACTTGGAGACCTCGACTCGAGGAGTTTGCTGCATTTTCTTGTTGCTATATACTTTGTTTGTAAAAATGCCATCCATGGCTGTTCGATGGGATTCGCTATGCTTTGGCGTTGCCGTTGTTCTGGTTTGAAATAGATATACATACTTTCATTTATATTGTTTTAAAAAGCACATCAAACACTTGTTTTGTTCTTGGTATCATGTTTCCAGAGTGAAATGAAACATCTTTCCGAACCTCATTGGAACAAAATGACATAAACACATCATGTTTAGGTCTCTCAATATTGTAATTGTACAAAGGAGATTTTGGTTCATTTTAAAAAAGTATCTTGTTAATGAAATAAAAGTTTTTTTTTGATTTTTATCTATTTTGGGGGGATTTTGTTTTAATTTTTTGAATACTTTTTAAAATGAATCAAAAATTCCTTTGTATAACTTTAATATTGAGAGGTCAAAAACATGTTGTATATGGTATTTTGTTCCAACAAGGTTCGGAAAGACATTTTATTTCATTCTCAAGAATTGGTAGAAAGGAGCAAAAACAATTGCACTAAAAAAACAAAAAATGTTAACAAAAACAGTTATATCAAATATTTCTAAATAATTTTCGCATTAAATAGTTGTTAATCAGTCAACATTACATAAAATACCATGTTTTGTTACAGAATGTTTTCAATGATTGGTTTAAGAGAAAAACATTGTTGAATTCAGTTCTCCATATTGATACCTATCCTTTATTGAAATGTAATGAAGCCTTTGTTTCTGTATAATAAACATTTATGAAGTGAAACCTATATTAGTTAAACATTTTGAACACTTTCAAGTCAGTCATAAGATTCTTGTAACTACAAATACAGTTCCAAAAATTATTTGGAGGTGAAGTGTGTGTCCTATAGGTTTCACTTTATAGATTAATTGCCATTATATTAAGAATGTTCACAATTCATCAATGCTTTTTTGGTTGCATTTAGGTTTGTCTTCATAATGGGGTCTTCAATGGCACTTTCGTTCAGGAGTCTCAAACGTCATGCAGTTCCACGCAGGAAAATATTCCTAAAAGTTTTACGACGAACAATCACTTTATTTATCATAGGCGTGATACTGAATACAAGTAAACGTAGTGGTAAGCAAGTTGTGGATATATAGGCCTGTAGCATGGATATATAGACCTGTAGCATGGATATATGGACCTGTAGCATGGATATATAGGCCTGTAGCATGGATATATAGACACGTAGCATGCATATATAGACATGTAGCTTGGATATATAGACCTGTAGCATGGATATATAGACATGTAGCATGGATATATAGGCCTGTAGCATGGATATATAGACCTGTAGCATGGATATATAGGCCCGTAGTATGGATATATAGACCTGTTACATGGATATATAGACATGTAGCATGGATATATAGACCTGTAACATGGATATATAGACCTGTAATATGGATATACAGGCCCGTAGTATGGATATATAGACCTGTTACATGGATATATAGACCTGTAACATGGATATAAAGGCCTGTAGTATGGATATATAGACCTGTAGCATGGATATATAGACCTGTAGCATGGATATATAGGCCTGTAGCATGGATATATAGGCCTGTAGCATGGATATATAGGCCCGTAGTATGGATATATAGACCTGTTACATGGATATATAGACATGTAGCATGGATATATAGACCTGTAACATGGATATATAGACCTGTAATATGGATATACAGGCCCGTAGTATGGATATATAGACCTGTTACATGGATATATAGACCTGTAACATGGATATATAGACCTGTAATATGGATATATAGGCCCGTAATATGGATATATAGACCTGTTACATGGATATATAGACCTGTAACATGGATATATAGACCTGTAACATGGATATATAGACCTGTAGCATGGATATATAGGCCCGTAGTATGGATATATAGACCTGTTACATGGATATATAGGCCTGTAACATGGATATATAGGCCTGTAGCATATGCTTTGTTGTGTATTGTGTAATTAGGGTCATGGGGTTTCAAGAGAGCTCTTGAAAGCCCATGGCTGTTAGGGTGTTGTTTATGGGAAATGTCATGGTTGTCATGTATTAAAATGACATGGTATGAAATGGGTTAAAACGGCTATGGGAGTTTCCAGTTGGTCCACTTTCAAAGTGGTTGTATACTCGGTGGTTGATGCAATAAAGAGGTTGTATTTTTTGTATCACACAATTTTAGAAATGAGCATGTCTTCTTGGTTTGGTGTTTAGCATGGCTGTATTTCTAAAACATGTTTTTTAATGACATGACAACCATCACATTCTGTGCTATGTAATTTATAATACGTGTCCTAATCATAAAGTAATTGATATACAGGGTGCCTCTAAAGTTTCTTTACAATTACGATACAAAAGCGACTTTATAGACACCCCATACATTAATTCCCAAGGGAAGTTTCCTGTATTTACTTGAAATAACTTCAAATATTAGAGTATATTAGAGAATATTAGTGCTTTTAATACAAGGGATACACTTCAAGATTATGCCTTAGTTTCACTTAGAAGCCCATGGTCTTATTACCAAGAACATCTGGTTTTCCTAAAATTACTTTGTGATTAGGAATTGTAATTTGTTCAATTGTGGTAGAAACATTAAGGTTATTTGATTCATCCAAGATTTTTCTTTGCAAATGGAATTAAACAACTCTCCTTCGAAGCCTATATATTTTGATAATTTGAGTATACTTGCTCTTTGCAGCATTTCAGTTGAATGAACAAAACAAGTACATTTAATCAACATTACGTAATGTATAAAGACATTACATAATAATAGGCTACTTAAAAAAGGTCTTCTTTTTAGTTTATTTTCAAATTGGAATTGAAAACTGATAAAATAGCCTTAATGTTCATAATCCTGTGATAGAAAGCAATGTGATATCTTGTAAACCAGTGCTTAGTTCTACCAATAATAAATGTAGTATTAATAATCTTAATATCTAACAGAATAGTATTAATTTAATATATATTAATTATAAAAGTATGCTTTAGAATAAAAATTTACTTTAACATTTGAGGATACTTTCCTTGCTTTACTAATACTCTGCTTTGATTAATATTAATAATTAATTAATCTTATAAATTAATTGCCTCGTTTTATTGGCTACAGTGCTGCTCATATTTAAGAAATGACCCCTTCTAGATTATATTTCTAAAAGCAGTTCTGTATTTATTTGTCATACTTCAAAAATAAGATTCCTAGACTTATTTTGTATATGCTACATGTTAAAATTGTATATTTTCTATATATTTAAACGTGTGTGCTTTAAATCATTGAATTAACCCTTATGTTCCCAGTTGTAGAACTTATAAAATATATCCTTATAAGGACATTGCAACTACTTGCATTTGGGCCATTTTCATCATTCATACTGGATGTCCAGTTCAATTATAAAGGTAAAGATATAAAATATTAAAATGTTAAAATTGTAAAATTACGATTTTTTATGAACATTTTTTGTAAATAATTTAGGGTTTTGGGCTGTTTGGGTTTGTAGACTGCAGTGCAGAACTGGGAATGTTAGGGTTAATTTTTTGAATTGTACTATTCGTGTGTTTGTTTTTGATTTTATTATTTAATTAACTTTACTAACATTTGCTTTTTTGCCTTTTCTTCCTTCTAGATAAAAGCATGCTGATCAATCCCAACTCTTTGTTTCTAATCTTAACTTATATCATGGAATTTAGTCACCTCTCTTGGTTTATTAAGGTTTACATTTATAATCGGGACGTCAATCGCTCTGTCATTCCGGAGCCTGTTACGTCGATCCACATCACGCTACCAGCTAGCTGTCAAGGTCACAAAACGGACGCTTATCCTGTTTGCGATTGGTCTCTTTCTGAATACTGGGGATGATGGGTGTAAGGTTTTTTTCGAACAAATAAAGACTCTTCTATTCACCGTGGTTATATTTTATCTTTTGTGTAAAATAGAGTGGAAATAAGAGTGAAATGAAATTGGCAGTTCAGAATATGCATACATATATATGTATAGTACTCCAAACAAAACAAAAAATTTATAAAAATTAGGTAGACATTTAAGGATTGATGTGAACAGTAGTGCAAGTTTCAATCCATTCATAGCTTTACTCTGTTTGATTTCGGGTTTATTTATAGATATTTTTTAATCAATTTGAAATATCCGTTTTCTTTATGCCTTTGCAGGCCCACTCATTTGTACTCTATTTTGCATTTTAAAACTTAAGCATTGCTTCTCTATCTATACTAACAAACATTTTCTCATCATTTGTACTACTTGGAATGTTGCCTTTTTAACTGTCCTCATACCTTTTTAATATTTCTTTTCATTTTACTTTAACATTCATGTTTTATGTCTTAATTTAGTCAGTGATTTGTCCTTACAACTGTTCACACTGTAATAAATGCTTTTTGATTCAAATAAGTTTTATTTTTTTAGTATCCTTTAAATTCATTCTTTGTTAGTACTTTCAGTGATACGTTTGTCTATGTATAATAATGATTGATTTAATTATAACATTACTTTGAGGCTCTCAATTTATCTATTTGATCATGTAGAAGAAGGAAAGATTTAATTGAAATAAACCTCCATTTTAGCTCAGGATATGACAACTATAAGGATACCTGGGGTACTACAGCGTCTTGCATTCTCATATTTTGGAGTTGCAATATTGGAATGTTTCTTTGCCCAGGCTTCTGACCCACATGAGGTGAGTACCCATAATCCCATAAAATCCATACCCATGTTATGTTAGATAAAGTGTGACTTCCTAAACAAAGTGCAATATCAAAATTTCTCAAACACCGTTATGAGGGGGAGGGAGGGGGGGTCACAGATTAACTGTGCAAATACAGTTAATAATCCTACATTGAACTTTTGAGATGCTCCCTTAGAAAGATGAATGATGGCATCAACATGTTTTTATTCAAACATTCTAATATAATGTTTAATGCTAGAGAAGAAAGGGCTAATTGAAAATTTAGCTCTATGAACTTTCATTTGATCAAATTTTGAATTTTTAAGTCTATCATGTTTAAATTTTGTATGAACTGTTTGTAGTATATATGGTGGGCTCCTGTACGTGATGTATTAGATTACTGGGCCGAATGGCTTATAATGATTGCAGTACTCGCAGTACATCTTTGTCTCACATTCCTTTATGTAATGTTTGTAGTATATATGGTGGGCCCCTGCACGTGATGTACTAGATTACTGGGCCGAATGGCTTATAATGATAGCAGTACTCGCAGTACAGCTTTGCTTTACATTCCTTTATGTAATGTTTGTAGTATATATGGTGGGCCCCTGTACGTGATGTACTAGATTACTGGGCTGAATGGCTTATAATGATAGCAGTACTCGCAGTACAGCTTTGCCTCACATTCCTGCTGCCACTAGAGGGTGACTGTCCAAAGTAAGTACAATGTAGGACTACTTATAGTAGATATGGTTTGGGCATTGTTCCTATTCAAAGTATGGTTTATAGGCATTTTACCAACTTCTCATTTGAAATATGGGTTTGGCCTTGAACCAACCATTCAAAGTGTGGTTAAGGCATCATAGATTCTTAAGTGTGGTTTACACCCCAGTCACATTTCCCACGGCCGCCGTGCAGTCTATCATTTCTGTGGCCAGTAGCTTTTCTACGCTCGCCGTAGAATTTCTGTGCTCTCATACTTTTGCAGACACATTTCCAACGGCAGCCGCACGGTGAATTTTAAATTTCTGTTGATAAATAATACTTTTTTCATTTTATTTACATCAGGACAATTTAGAAATGTTATTCATAGTGCTAGGATGTAATATCAAATGAAAAGTGATCGTGAAACATTGACAAATAATGATTCAATCTTGTTGAGCCAGTTGATTTCTACGGGGACCTCAGAAATGAACAAATATTATAATTCCGAGTTATAATTTGTATGGCGACCCTGCGGCCTGAAAAAACTGGATATGCCGTACGGAGGCCGCAAGGCTATGCTCGCCGCAGAAATACACTGTTTTAATCAATCTGCGGTCGATGCACGGCCGCCGTACGACAAATGTGACTGGGGTGATAGGCATCATATATTCTTAAGTGTGGTTTAGGCATCATGGTAACTACTACTCAGAGTAAAAATTGTTGTAAAGCATTGAACCAAGGACTTAAAATTGATATGGTTTTAGCATTGAACCAATTATTCAAAGTAGGTATTGTTTGATGCTCCCATTGGCACTGTTCTGGTGATTATGTTCAAAAATACAAAATGTGTGAGACAGAAGTGTGGTCTGAGGATCATAACAATGTTTATTTGCCATTATAACGTGATGCTGATGCTACAAGAAATCATCCAGATGGCAAAATAGCATCCATTTAACTTAAAATTTTGATTGATATAAAAGCAGATAAGACTTAAGAACCAATATTTGGTCAGGTTTTTGTGGCATGCTGGGTAATTTACAAGGTAGTCATTTTGCTGGTCAAGTGAGTGATTTACCACTATATGTCATGTTTATTAAACAGGGGCTACCTAGGACCAGGGGGACTACACGAAAATAGTAGTTATGTTAACTGCACAGGGGGCGCTGCAAGTCTCATAGATAGATGGTTCTTTGGGGCCAACCATATATATCAGCACCCAACTTGTAAGGTAAGATATGGTGGTTAAGGTACAGGTGGAAAATAACATTTTGGTAAAAAATTGCTATACCTGCACATGTTATTTTCTGGTAAAAAATAAAGTATGAAGGCATGTGTCGATTCCCTTGCTTTTTTCAGGAAAGTATCATTACATTGTCTTCTTTTAGAATTATCTGGTAGTAGTTCAATGGGAACTCCAGGAAATTCTGATATTTCACACTTTCTATTTTTCCAAATTTTCTTTCAAAGTTTCCAGACAACACAGAGGCTACCATTGACCTGTTTCCAGGTTTACTAAAAGCAGACAGTGTAATGATACTTTCCTGAAAAAAGCAAGGAAATACACACATGCCTTCATACTTAATTTTGTACTAGAAAATAACATGTGCAGGTATAGCAATTTTTTACCAAAATGTTACTTTCCAGCTGTACCTTAACTTTTAAATGTTCTCCTTATAGAGCAGTTACAGTAAGCTTTCTCCTTAGGGAGAAAGGAGAGCAAGTTGTGTTTTTAGAAGGCGTGCATCAAGCATTCATCGAACAGGTGGGGTTTTCAAAAACAATAAATGGAACTTGTAGCGTAATAATTAGCAATTTTGTTTCTACTGATCTACAAATTATTTGCTGTAAAATGAAGAAGTGGTGACATATTGTTATAGTTTCCAACTTTTTCTGAATGGCGATTGGCAGTTAGTGTTCTGCGGAGTCTGTAGCAGGTGTCTGTAACAAATGGATGGTGGTGACATTTTGCATGTTAATGCCTTGTATAAAACTTTAGGAGATATATCACACCTATGTGTTATTTCATGAACTTTCAGGAGGTGTATCACACTCATGTGTTGTTTTATGAACTTTCAGGAGGTGTATCATACTCATGTGGCCCACGACCCAGAGGGGATCCTTGGTACATTGACATCAATATTCATGTGTTTCTTGGGCCTTCAGGTAATGCTTGTGTTCTTGTTTTATTAAATTAAATTAATAAAACGCTGTGTGTTTTAGAGAGCATATCAAACCACAGTCCAACATGACCCTTGTGGCATTCTGGGTACTTTGACTTCCATCTTTAATTGCTTCCTAGGCCTACAGGTACATATTCGTCCATTTTGTAATCAGCATTCTAGCAAGTGGGAACTTTACTCGCTTGGGATTTTAAAATAGGCTTTGACCACCCTTCTCTAAATATTCAGTTGCAATTTCTTAAAAATTAGAAAAAACTTTGAAGAATTGGAATTCCAATGCAAATTGGATAAATCTTGTGGATTCCCCTCATAATCCTCGGATCGTACGAATTCACCAAATATATATCAGATTAGTAATCTAAGATTTATCCCAAAAGATAAAATTCATCCGGATTGGATTGGGGATCGTATAAATTCACGACCCCAGCTCTTGTGGAAGGATAAGTAATTCTTCATTCTGTTTTTTTTTTGTTACAGATGGGCAAGATTCTGTTGACTTACTCCCATTGGAAAGACAGGGTAGTGAGATGGCTTATATGGTCAGTGCTTTGTGTAAGTATACTTTAATATATACTTGTATATAGATAATACTGGCATCAATGGGACATATGAATGAGTTTTTAATTGAAAGACAGGGTAGTGAGATGGCTTATATGGTCAGTGCTTTGTGTAAGTATACTTTAATATATACTTGTATATAGATAATATTGGCATCAATGGGACATATATATGAGTTCTTCATTGAAAGACAGGGTATTGAGATGACTTCTATGGTCATTGATTTGTGTAAATATGTTTTTTTAATAGAAAGAAAGGGTATTGAGGTTGGTAATCTGCATGGTCAGTGCTTTGTGTAAGGGGAGGCATTAAAAGTTCGATGTCGGACCGAAAACTAAATAAATCTAGTTTTGACTTTGACCCCCACCTTCCCCCAAAACCAAACACCATGAAAGGTGATCGCTGACTTCTGGGTTGAGAATTTGACATCGAACATTCGATGCCTCCCCTAAGTACATGCATACTATTCTATGATTTGGTTGGTAATTATAATTTGCACATTTTGCCATATTTAATGCTTAAAACTTTCAATTCAAATTCAATTTATTTATTCCTTAATAAGCATAATTATACAAACAATAAACACAGTTATCTCCCCGGCATTAAAGCCATGCAAGTACGTACTACAATGACTTCAATAATCATTTCATTTATATACTTGTATCCATCTGAGAATCCATTTGCACCCACTTGAAAATGAGAAAATAATTTTGGTGTAATTTTTGTGAAAATAAGAATTTTGCAGCCACTTGGGAATTGATCAATGATATGAAGAAATAGGAATTAAAATTCTGGGATCTTAAAAGCAACTGTTACATTTAATGGAATATGAACATACATGATTTAATTACTTAAAATAGTATATGGAACATAATAATTCACAAGAATGAGTTGGTAGATTATAATGACATTTGAAAAAGGGATATATGCAAAGTGCAATAGTTACATGACATGTAGAGCCATTATTATGGCTTTGTCACACTGGGTTCAACTTTGTCAATAAGAAATTGCAGTTTACTTTGCTTATTCAGTTCATTAGCTTCTCAAAGACTCTTGGCATGGTTATGAAATAAGATATAAGCTAAAATATATAATTAAGTTTCAATTTCAATCTTAAAGATCACAAATATACATAAGTGCTCTAAAAATACATTCAAAAATTGCAGTTTACTTTACGCAGTTGAATGGTCTCAACTTTGTTCTTAAGAAGATTGCGTTTTACTTTGCTTATTCAGTTCATTAGCTTCTCAAAGACTCTTGGCATGGTTATAAAATAAGCTATAAGCTAAAATATATAGTAAGTTTCAATAACAATCTTAAAGATCATCAATTTACATAAGTGCTCTAAAAATACATTCAAAAATTGCAGTTTACTTTGCTTATTTAGTTCATTAGCTTCTCGAAGACTCTTGGCATGGATAAAAAATAAGCTATAAGCTAAAATATATAGTAAGTTTCAATAACTATATCTTAAAGATCATCAATTTACATAAGTGCTCTAAATTACATTCAAAAATTGCAGTTTACTTTGCTTATTTAGTTCATTAGCTTCTCGAAGACTCTTGGCATGGTTATAAAATACGATATAAACTAAAATATATTGTGAGTTTCAATAACAATCTTAAAGATCACAAATATACATAAGTGCTCTAGAAATACATTCTAAAATTGCAGTTTACATGCACAGTTAAATGGGTTCAACTTTGTTTATAAGATTGCAGTTTACTTTGCACATATTCAGTTCATTAGCTTCTAAAAGACTCTTGGCATGGTTATAAAATAAGCTATAAGCTAAAATATACATGTAGTAAGTTTCAATAACTGTCTTAAAGAACATCAATTTACATAAGTGCTCTAAAAATACATTCAAAAATTGCAGTTTACTTTGCTTATTCAGTTCATTAGCTTCTAAAAGACTCTTGGCATGGTTATAAAATAAGATATAAGCTAAAATATATAGTAAGTTTCAATAACAATCTTAAAGATCATCAATTTACATAAGTGCTCTAAAAATACATTCAAAAATTGCAGTTTACTTTGCTTATTTAGTTCATTAGCTTCTCGAAGACTCTTGGCATGGATAAAAAATAAGCTATAAGCTAAAATATATAGTAAGTTTCAATAACTATATCTTAAAGATCATCAATTTACATAAGTGCTCTAAATTACATTCAAAAATTGCAGTTTACTTTGCTTATTTAGTTCATTAGCTTCTCGAAGACTCTTGGCATGGTTATAAAATACGATATAAACTAAAATATATTGTGAGTTTCAATAACAATCTTAAAGATCACAAATATACATAAGTGCTCTAGAAATACATTCTAAAATTGCAGTTTACATGCACAGTTAAATGGGTTCAACTTTGTTTATAAGATTGCAGTTTACTTTGCACATATTCAGTTCATTAGCTTCTAAAAGACTCTTGGCATGGTTATAAAATAAGCTATAAGCTAAAATATACATGTAGTAAGTTTCAATAACTGTCTTAAAGAACATCAATTTACATAAGTGCTCTAAAAATACATTCAAAAATTGCAGTTTACTTTGCTTATTCAGTTCATTAGCTTCTAAAAGACTCTTGGCATGGTTATAAAATAAGATATAAGCTAAAATATATAGTAAGTTTCAATAACAGCCTTAAAGATCATCAATTTACATAAGTGCTTTAAAAATACATTCAAAAATTCAAATTATTGACAATAATTTCATTTATGGCAATGTGAGAGTCGGTTAAGGTTTAGGTATGAACAAGCCCTAAGAAGACCATTCCCCGGTTATCCCAGGTAAATGTTTCTGGTAAGTTACACTGAACGAAACATCAAGCTTCAGATCTCGAGAGTACGAGATGAGACTTTAGACGAGATATCGATAGGATTGTAGTTGGAGGGTTTTCTCCCTAGGTGCGTACAAAATCCATTAACATCAATGTAAGTTATACATTTCGATTCTTTTTATCGACATTTATCTCTTGTATATACATTTATCTATCGCTGAATCGTTTTGTGAAAATTTTATCGTAATATTTCACACAAAAAACGTCAGTTTTAAGAAGTTCAAAAAAATTTCAAACACGTTTTATCTTTTGTCTTTATGACTTTGTAGTTTTATGTTTGAAGTATTCAATTGATATCTCGTACATATGGTTTAAAACTTGAATTTATACAAAAGAATTAATTTATTGATGAATATGGACACGTCACATATTACTCGAGTCTCTACCTTACAGCTAGATGTAACTTCATTTATTTCGTATGTACTCGTATTTCGTATGTAAAAATTGCCACACGCACCTAGAATTCATTTTATATTAATTATATTTAGGATGAAACGTTGCTTGTTTGGATTTAGATATTTCAAAATTTCTTTTCGGAGTTTGACACATGGTTAAATTTTCTCGCTGTAGCTAAAAATGACTTCCGGTTCCAGACGTGAATAATGTAGGAAACTTTGAAATTATTCTCAAATATAACAATAGATTCAGACGGAGATGTGTGCTGATGTTTCTCAAATCTATACATAAAGGTATATTTCATATTATTATGCCGTATTTCCTGTGCGTGTGACACATTGATTTACAATATTTACAACACCAAGGCAGCTAATCTTTCTACTCAAAGCCGGAATATAGAGAAGGTTTGGACCTAAGTAAGTCACATACATGTCCTCAAGTTACGTTCAATAGACTCCATCCAATCTAATAATAGATATTTCATTTATTTACGAGTGTAAGTAACCTTGTAGGCTATTAAATAAATATATCTATTCTATTTATTATCCCATTCCAGAGATTTCTGGTTGTTATTGGGATTATTCATAGTACCATTAAGGTACAGATATCATTTTATTACTTGATATATATTTATCTCTTGAGAGAGCTATAATTATTCCTTTTCTTCTATATTTCTGACACCTTATTGCACATAATAAACTTTACTCTGAGGATAAGACAGGAGTCAATAATATCCTTACCTTTCTTCTCCCATTATACAAGACAATTAGAGATGCCTAATGTTATTAGGGTCAGCATTATAGGCCACAGTTTTGTTCGGAAAATAGAAGAATCTAACCAATTTGACTTTAAATTAAAGGAAGACATAGTTAACTATAATACCATTGTTTATACAATTAAACAATTTCAAGATGATGTAAAATATAAAATTCCCTATCCAGATTTGGCTATATTACAGCTAGGAGAAAATGATCTGGTTCATAGATCATCTACCTTTGTTGCAATAAATCTCATCACTTTGGCTGAACAATATTTAGATATACATCCATCCTTCATTAAAAGCCTTTTATATTGGAGAACTATTTCAACGCTCATGGCATCCTTTCAAATCCTCGATCAATACTGCTTCAGAATGCATTCAATAATTCAATATTTTATCTACCAATTTCAAATTTTTAAATGATATTCATCATCATAAGGGCAATAGACTTTTGTTCCTACATCACCCACATACCACCCAATATAGAATCAATGGTCAAATTTGATAGATGACTCCTACGATCCCACACATCTCAATGCAAGGGGAAAAGCATTTCGTCAAGTCCTGGAAAGGCGCAGTCCTGAGATTTCTTGATTACATTTATTAGGTAATAATAATTAGACTTAACATTAGAAGAGACGGCTACTCTTCTCTAACCAAACATAAGCCAGAGAGTCGTTAACTTTTCACAATAGTTTATTCACTTAGTTATCCTTCATAAGTACTATACTTATATTAGGAAATTTAGTTTCCTGTTTACTTATATGTTATCATATTTATATTATGATAAATATATATCATTTTGTATATCATCCGCATTTATTCATGCAGTGTATACTATACCTTTAGACATGATATGTTATCATATTTATATTATGATAAAATTCATATTATTTTATATTTCATATGCATTTATTCATGCATTGTATACTTTACCTTTATTCTTAAAGGTTATCATATTTATATTATGATAATTCATATTATTTTATATATCATATGCAT